CGACCCCGTTGTACCTCTCATGGAAACTGACGTCAACAATTAAATTTTAGTCTTTTTCTTGAGGTATTTAATAAGAGCGCGGTAAGTTATTCCGCTAAAAAAAAAAAAAAGCGCCGCTTTTTAGACGATTACAACCCACAGGAATCCTCGAAATAGTTAATATAATTATAAAAATCAACAAAAAAATGTGACAATATCCTGTAGAGTAAGAAAGGCGGCAACACATTACTGTGATGGGCACTGTAAAACCTGGAACCCCTCTGGAACATAATATGAGACGCCGTTTCGCTCCTTTATGATAACAAAAACATGGATACTATATATCTCTGCATTACTGGTAAATGTAAAAGAAAAAATTTTGTTGGCAAGTAAACCAATTATAATGTTTTCAAAGGAATTACGAACAGGTATAACATGCCAGTTGCCTATTTTATGTGGTTGTTGTAGCTCTTTAATAAATATTTTGTCATACTTTGGTTGACTCTAATGAAACAAAACACCAGATCCCGCCAACAGGAGGTGTTTACCTGTGTTATTGTTTATTCGTGTAATTGATAAATATTATTTACTAGTAATTGTCTGGCTAACCTTGTTGTCGTATTTTCTTAACATTGACGTTGGATCGGGTCATAAATATGGCATTGTTATATTCACCACAGTGCTCAATTTGCTAGCATAATTTACCTAATCTGGAATAGCTACTCTGGATAGACAAATTATGCTGGCATTGTAATTGGAACTACTGAAACCATCTATCCACGTGTATCTGGCAATACACTATCTATCGTGATATAATAGATTGAACATCGGTCTGCTGTTGAATATCATCGGCTCTATATGTCTGTGCAATACATTCTTCAAATATATACATGTCAACCGACGGTATAAAAGAAAGGCAGTTTGCCCTATCTTGAAATTCAGAATATAGCATCTACAGCAACAGCAACACATTCATAGACACATAGAATAGATATAGAGTATCTCATTTCATAGACAAAATTACTTCTTAATTTCTCATTTTACTTCCAACTGACCATGCTTCGTTTTACCATCAACTCTATTTCCATCGTTGCCGCCCTTGTGACAATTTCTGCTTCTGTTGCTGCCGACGGCTATTCTGTGTATGGCAGTGAGAAGACATACCCGACCTATAGCTCATACCCTACTCAGAGCGCATACCACAGCCACGGTGGATACAAGTCGGCTTGCCCCCATGACTATGACTACGGCTACAGCCACAACCACGGATACAACTACAGACCTGACTGCAGACACGGGTACTCTTCGATGTATGAGCCAAGCTATGGATCAGCCTGTGAGTATGGTTACGGCCATAATCACCACGGAAACTACGACCGCAAGCACGACGATAAGGATGATTGCAAGCACGATAAGGACGATCGCAAGCATGGCAACAAGGATGATTGCAAGCACGACAAGGACGACCACAAACACGACGACAAGGATGACAACAAGCACAATAAGGATGATCGCAAGCACGACGACAAGGATGATCACAAGCACGACGACAAGGACGATCGCAAGCACGGTGATCACAAGCACAATAAGGACGACCGCAAGCATGATGATAAGGACGATCGCAAGCACGATGACCACAAGCACAATGACAAGGACGACTACAAGTACAGCTCCCAGTACGACCCCAAGTATGAATCCAAGGATGGTTCAAAGTACCAGACCTATTATACGCCCAGCTACTAAACTATATCAGTCCTTTTTTTTCTCGGCATCCATAGCCGACCCGTGCTGTATGACTTGCTCTTCATCTAGCTTTATAATATAGCGCTTAGATGCCTAATAAATAGTAGGAATAGATATATAAAACACGTGTTTAATGCAAGCTAAAGTATATGTCTATAACAACATACGATTGCTAGTGACATTGTTTGCGCCATCTATATTTTAAAAGTGTTTTTACAATACCTTCTCACATCTAAAGTGCATTAAGCTAAAAAATTGGACTGAACATGAACATATTACAGAATTTTTTTCTTAATTACCGCTGGTCAAATGTACTGTATCATTGCAAGCTGGTAAACACAGAAATAATGGCTTAAATGTAATAGAGAACCAACCGGAGTCTACCGATGTGATCGGATTGATGATGTGTTTATTCCTAAATGTTGTCCATTCCTCCTATCCAGAACATAACTCATTACGCTTGCAATAAGACATTCCGTCCGCTAAAATGTTTGCTCGTTACACTTGTAGAAGCTACTTAAAATATTCCAAATCAACTACCTTTTCTCTGTTAAAAATCAAACATAGGTTCTTCAAAACCGTAGCATACAAATGTAACCTAAAATGCAAGTTCACAATTATTATATTACGCACTCAGGCTATTTATAAAAGCTTTATATTACTAAAAATCATACCGTCTCTAAAAGATGTGATGTATCAGTTTTGCCGGCGGTACCTCCTACCTACCACAACTATTATTCAATGATACGAAGGGAAGCTAGTATAATGGCAGTACTCTCGCCTTTTAAGCGAAGCAGTGTTGGTTCGAGTCCGACGCTTTCCATCAGCGTATCGGCATTTTAGTTTTCTTATTTATAAAATAATTAAACTTTGTAAAAAGCTATGCTTATAGATAGATTGTTCATCATGGCAAACTCGCATCCACGTACTCGTCAAATGTCAGAACGTGAAAGTTGTAGACGGTGCTCGCATACAGGCTTTCAATTTCAGTCTGGATGTAACTAATGCATGCTGTGACACTTGTCACGTTCGCATTATGCAGCATAGCCGTAGTATAGAGAACCACTACGTCAACTGCGCCAGTGGGTTTGATATCCTTGTCGTTTTCTATTATTGCTGCCATACCACTTTTGACTTTAGTGTAGAAGTCTGGCAAATATTGATAATTGCGGGCATCTATAACTCTTTCCGAAATAGGGAATATTACGACATCCTGAGAGTTTAATGTTCGAGACATATTGAAGAGGAAAAAAAGATGAAATATGCTGTGCTTGGTCGATGGATTGTAATATTTTTGCGTAGGGACAGAAAATACTTTACTTATATATCAAAAATGTGTGTATCAACGTATTATTCATTTGCTGCTGATATGTAAGAATGACAGATTTGTTTGAATTCTTATTCGATTGTCTAAATAGGCGTGCTTCCTGACATAATCAACTTATTTGCAGATATTTACCCATTGTCATAAATATGGACATGGTAATTCAATTAGATAAAAACAAAACGTATAAATTGCTATAATTAGAGCTATTGATGCGTTCGTGGTTTACACGACCTGCTAAAACAAAACTATATCAAATAAGAGAAATACCTAGTTGAAATACCCAATTCTTTTCAGGTAAAGATATAGTGCAATCCACTGCTCTTGTGTCAGGTTAAGCGCAGGCATGTTTGTAATCAGTTGTGGAATTGGTGCTGGGAGTGGTGCTGGAGCAGCAGCAGGTGCTGGGTTGGGCATTGCGGCTGCAAAAGTGGAGAGTGTTCCAAATAGGAGCGCTGTTAGTCTAGAGATGTGCATTTTTGTATTTAAAATCGGAATATCGAGCAAGGGTGTATAGCATCGTGGGGTGTTTTTTGCAGCCTGGACAGATGCCAAATTATTTATACAACCCAATACCATTTTTGCTCCATTTAAGGCATATAGTTCTCAATACATAAGCCATTTATTTCTGTAATAGAGATAGCCGCTTGCCATCTTGCATGTATAGACTGCACGCAGATGGAAGTATACAGAGACAGAGAATAATACAAGTGCAAATGTATTGCACAATGTACATTCGTCATATGAGCGGTTCCTTTTAGACTGCCCTGAAACAATAAAAAGCAAACATCAATTACATGGTCATCTCCACAGAAAAAAATAGACACTTTTTTTTTAGCAAGTGAGTGGGGAGTCTGGCATATGGTCAGGAGGGTTTCCCACACCCATGGTCTTACAATCAACCCACTGTACACGGTTTCGACCTGTTGTACAATTGCGACAATACACATACGGGCTATTTTGCAGCACGAAGGCGCGTTTCTGTCCACTACTCGCACCAAATAATTGCACAATAATGAAAATTTTCAGGGCCGCAGCAGTATTAGCATGTGCCGCAGCGCTTGCGTGCGCATTGTCGGACAAGGAAGAGAAGACAGTCACCGATGTTCTTGCAGTTCTCAAGCGCGGCACCAGCATCTACCCGCTCGAAGACCTGATGCACCAGCTGGCGTCTTCGTTGGGGTTTACCAAAAGCGCAGCCAAGCTCAACCGCTTTGTTCCCAACGGGACTGCAGCTTATGCGACGGTTTACGATATGCTAGTCTACGTCGACGCAAATGGAAAGCATTCGCCAGAGCAGCACGAAAAGCTTAGACAGCTGACCGAAATCATCGGGTCAAAGGTCCTCAAGCTCAACGAAAAGCAGTACACTCTGCACACACTCGTCGTGCAAGAGGAAGAGGAGGATGCCAGCAGTGCTAGAGACAGCAAGTTTAACAACATGGGCGATTTCAACAGAGACTTTGTCAGAAAGGAGCAGACCAACTAGACATTATCATTATTTTTTTTTTATATTTCCTCAATACCAAGCTCAAACTTTAGCATGTCGTCAAAGTCAGATATTGTCAGTGTTGACGTTGGCCCCAAAAGCAGGGCGCTTTTGAGACCCGGCGAGTGAAGCCAACTTGACAGCTTGACTAGCTGCATATCGCTGTCAAGCCGTTCAGTGAGACCCTCCATCATCTCAAAGCCTTGGATAGTGCGCCGCAGCTCGTCAATATGTTCGGTCCGCATGTTTACAGCATCCCGATAAGCATCGCAGGTGCGCTGGGTAAGGTCCGCATACCGTGTAAGAGACCCCAGTACCAGTGGCTCAACAAATACTGCAGCACTGCCCTCGGGAGGCAATAGCTTGACCAGCGACTCTGCAGCGGTCTGCATGCGGTCTATCTGCCGGTTCATCATTGTGATTTTGTGCTCGAGCTGATCCAGCTTTTGCCTGGCCGATGCCGTGGCAGATGCTAGGTATCTGGCAGGCAGGTCGGGGAACAAGGGTAGGATGCTCGGATGCCAGACAGAGGGCTCTTGCGAGTTGATCGCCTGAAGCAAGATGTTGACAAGGTCGTTGGCGATAGCAATAGCGTCCGAGTTCCAGCCGTCCCATGATTTCTCGGCCTTGTATATATCCATCAGGGCAGCTCGCGAATGACGCTCGGCATTAGACGACATAGTGGACTGTAGAATATATATACACTGCTAACAACGCACTAGCTAAACAAAAACATAGAAAGTAACCACAAAATGGATATAGATATAATTTATCTTGCATTTTATGGTTCGGCATCATGACGAAAAAATGTCAAGCTTTATAGACTGGCGCTATCGACACCCCTCAACAAAAATCAAGTTTGTTAATGTACACATAAATATATATTTGCTCCGGGTAGAAAATGAGGGTTGCAAATTAAAAGAGAAATATGAACGTGCAAAAAATTTACGAGCGCTCGCCGCGGAGACGACGGGCCAGCTGGAGATCCTTGGGCTGGATGGTGACACGGCGGCCATGGATGGCAGCCAGGTTGGTGTCCTCAAAGAGACCAACGAGGTAG